GATTCCCCAACGCTGTTCCCCTCCCCCAATTCCCCAATAAAATCTTTAAAAAACAAACAAAAAATCCTCCAAAAACAATGTTACCATAAATACACAATTCATTATTACAACGACAAAAGAATTACTCAACAAAGAAATAGGACAATATAGCCTAGCCTCAAGGGAAAAAACAGTCAGTGGACACCAATCCAGGGGTGATCCAGATACTGGATTAGCAAACAAGGATTTTAAAGAAGCTATTATAACTAAGCTTAATGGAATAGAAGCAAATGCATTTATAAACAATGTTTTAAATATAAAATCTCAGCAAAGATATAAAAACTATTAACATAAGAGCTAAGTGGAAATTTTAGAATTGAAAACAATTTTGTATATGAAAATAAAAATGTTTACAAAAAAATCACTGGGTGGTGTAACAAAATTTGAAGATAGATCAGTCGATATCATCCAGTCTACAGAACAGAGAAAAAACTAAATTAAAAAAAGAGGGAGATAAAAGGAGATTCATTAATCTATGAAGAGGATGGAGCAGAAAAATAAAGATATAATGGCCCCAAACTTCCCAAATTTGGTAAAAGACATAAATTTATAGGTTTAAGAGGCTCACCAAATCTTAAGCAAGGTAGATATAGAGAGCACTGCACCTACGGATTTAATCAGAATTAACTAGCAGAAACCAAAAATTGGGAGAAATTCTCAAAAGTAGCCAGATAAAATTAACACATTACATGTAGGTTAATAATGATTCAAATGATCAGTGACTTCTCGACAAAATCTCCAGAGCTGAGAAGACAGTGCAACAACAATATCTTTAATGTGCTAGAAAAAAAATCAAAACTGACCATCTAGAATTTTATATCCAATGAAAATATCCTTCAAGAATGAAAGCAAAATAAAGACATTTTCAAAGAAAATTTTAAGTGAATCCATGAACAGACATGCACAATAAGAAATGTTAAAGATATTATTTAGGCTAAAGGGGAATATCAACTTTAGGAAGGAATGCAGAGAATAAATAATGGTATATCTGAATGCAAGTTATTTTTTCTCTGCATGTCCTTAAAATACATAGGACTGTAGCAAGGAAAAATTGTAACATTATCTTGTAGAGTTTATCATGTATGTAGTTATAATACTGATGACAACTGTAGCATAGAGGATGGGAATGGGGGATAAATGAAATCATACAGTTGAAGATTTCTATATTTTATATAGATGATATTAAGTTCTTAAAACATAGAGAGCAAGAACAGCAATATAAAAGCATCATTTAAATAAAAGGTGGTAGAAATATCTAAAAGGATTGAAAAGTATCTGCCTCTGGGAGAGCCAAGATCCTCTGCGAGGGATGTGGAGAGGAGTAGGGCAGAGGGTTGCGGGTTTTCATTATGAGCCGTATATATGGTACCATTTGACTTTTTTAAATTCTGCTGCTATATCACTCCTATAAATCTACAAATTAAATTTAGTGATTGGCTCTGTGATCTCACAATTCCACATTCAAGATTCTAGGCAGTTGTTAAGTTACCTTTACATTACTGATACCACTGAATTCAACAATGTTAATAAAAACTGAAAATCCTAAGTAAGTGATCAATTTACATGAGAAATACAGCTTTGCATATTATAAACAGGAACACCTACTCCATTCCTTTGTGGAGAACCAAAGGTCCCATATTGAGTGGCAGCAATATGTGTTAGTGGTTTTAAAGTTTTTAAATGCTTTCCTTAAAATTTAGTCTCCCTTCCAAAACTTATCGCAGCTACTCCTTTATTTCACTGTACTCCATGCTTGATGCATTTTAATATATTGAGAGAAATTTAGCAGTTCTTTTCAGCGAATTTGAGGGAAGAATTAATGACAGCTACTTTCAAAATTAAGCAAATTATTTTTTTCAAAACTACCATATTTCCCCATGTATAAAATGCTCTCATGTATAAGATGCACCTTAATTTTGGGGCCCAAAATTTGAAAAAAAATGTATTACATAAAGTTATTGAACTCGTTTTATTCATCATAAAATTCATACAACTCCTCATCACTGTCAAAACTCCCAACNTGAGCACAACACCGGCAGGCTCTGGAAGGTGCTGCCACTTGCACAGCTTCCCGAGGCCTGGAGTCTGGGTCCTCTGAGACACACTGCCCCTGAAATTGAAAAGACTGGTGTTTCGTCTCCAGCAGATAGAGCGAATGTCATGTCTTCCTGGGAGCTCCTGTATGACCCCACCTGGGACTGCATGAAATAGTATGTCAAGAGGGAAGAAATAAACTCCCAGAACTTATTACTGCCTTTCTAAGAGAGAGGAAATAGTTTGTAAGGCTGCTCCGAGGCTGGTAAGAAACCCCTGATTGCATGAGCAGGGCAGTGACAGGCCCCTGGTTGGCTCACTTGGGCTGGAGTGGCGGGCCCACATTTGACAGTCCCCGGAGTCCTCCAGTGTCTGTGTGCACTTTCTCTTCTTGGTTGGTGGCAATGAGGCTCTAAAATTGAGAAACCAAAATGCAGGTTAGGATTCTTCTTTGTACTCCATGTTACATTAAAGCAAATTTAATTTCCCAGGTCTCTGTTCTCTGCTTTCCTAAGTCTAATTCTATTTAGTTAAGGTTCCTTGAGCCTTACTAGTCTGCAAAACCAGATCCATTCATGGAATGAACAGAGCAAACCCCTATTCTGTGAATTCTACTAGTCTGAGACTTCATTTTCCTCTATTCAATGGATTTGGGATTCACCTATTTGAAAAATAAACTGACAGCATTTTCAAAGGCAGAGGACTAAAGGAGACAGAGAAGATACAGACTTAAAATACTAGTACACATTTTACACCTGAAATTTTTTTCACATGGAATTTTACCACCATTTTTAATGGCCTTTACTCATTTTGTCCTCTTCTAAGAACAAAAATTAGAAGGAAAGTTGAAAATGGGAAAGGAAGGAAAAGAGAAGAAAAGAACATTAGTGAATGGTGAACTGACATATTTTTCTGACACATCATTCACAGACTCCCTTGAGTACTGTAGCTGAGGCTACACAGGCAAACAGTGCTTTCTCCATCACCCAGAATCCCCCTATATAATTCTGACACTTTAGCTTTCCATTGAATAAGGACCTTGGGTTTAGCCGATTTTTAATTAAAAGATGGTCTAAAGCCAACAGCACTGGGCCTGGCCATGTCTGATGCATGTCTCAACATTGCCATCTGCTGGAGAGGACTGTTCGTTCTCTACCGGCACTGCTGGGGGCTGGCTGCTCGAGGTTTTTCATAATTAATTATCTTGCTCTTTACCCAAGGCTGTGGCTCAGAGGCTGCTGCTGATGGTAAGAACAACTTATCCCCAGATGGGAGGACACGGATGGGTCCAGGGTGGTCTCGGGATGACTGGCGTTTGGGTAGCAGTTGTGAAAGCCACTGTGGATAAGGCCTGGGTCACTCATTTCAGATGAGCTCTGTGGCGCGTGCACACGCAGTGTCCCAGGTGCTGCAGCGGACTGGAGAAAAGGAGCTGGAGTCCTAAGAGCCGGGCAGCATGCACCTGGAGGAAGACACAGGTGAGAAGGGCCTCTCTTCCTCACCACCCAGGGTCCAAGAAGAGGAGCAGTACATGATGGGCCCGGGGCCGAGGGCACTCACCTTTGACCTGTGGAGGAGAACAGGAGTCTGATGCAGAGTAGGGTGGGGTATCCGGGAGCTTCCGGTGCCTGAAGATGAGAGACATGCGTTGCTTTTTTGTTGTAACCTATTCCATCGTTATAGTTTTGTCACAAACAGGAAGCAGCCTTCAGTGTACAGCACCCCCCAGGGATGGTTCCAGGGATTCCAGGGGGGCAAAGCCCACCAGACCACCCAGTGCCCTGTGTTAAATGAGTGGGCTTTGAGTCAGACAGACCCAGCTCTTCAACTTCCTAGCTGTGTATCATGAACAAGTACTGAGCCTTTCCAGGCCTTCTGTTTCCTCACCTACAAAATGAGAATGATCATTATACCTTCCTCATAGCATCACTATGAGAATTAAATATGTTAAAGCCTATAACGTAATGAATGCTCAGTAAACTTTAATTAACATCATTATTGCTTTTTAACATCCTCAAAGTGCTTATACCAGAGAGATGGTTGTACATACTGTTGGGGCTCAGACCATGTAAAATGTCACCACTAAGGCCATGGTTTTCCATCTGTGCTCTGGGAGATCCCAAAGTTCTTGGAAGGAGCTCAGGAGTTTTATAAAAAAAACTTTCCTCAGTGCCTGGGGAAAAGAATTCGTAACTTCTTTCTGTTTTATATATTGAGGTGCAAGTAAAATTTCATTTAAAAAAAATGAGTACCACCACTAACAAAGTGTGAGAACTTCTGTTCCAAAAAACGCACAAGTCCCTTATGGCTAAGAAATTCTGTGATTATAAGTCATATGTATGCACCATCATCCTCCATTTGATGCTCTTGCTGCAGAGTAAGCTGCTATGTTTTTCTTGGTTGATTAAAATTTCAATCTCTTACAATAAGAAGAAAAGTTAGTGTTTATTATTTACTGGAAAAGTTATGTTTTCTTCTTAAATTGGTCCTTTGTAATCTATTCACTTCTAATTAATAAGGGGAGAGAGGACATACATTTACCTTCCTCCAAAAACCCCACTCCAATGAAAGTAAAGGAATAAAGAGGCATAAACATGAAAGGACATAGAGCTCATGAGCAGAGAACACACCAGACCATATTTCAATGACATCGGTGGAGACAGAAGTAGGATAGATGGTAACTGAGTTAGGACAACGGAAAAAAGCAAAAGCAGGACTTCCTGGGGACTGCGGAGGGGATATAGGAGCCAACGAGAAGTTATCTAATTTGAATGCAACTCCAGAAAAGCCCAAGAATTAGAGTCACCAGGAATCTCTGAATTCAGGGGTGAGGTGGTGCAGAAAACAAAAGGATTGATTGAAAGTTTGATTAAGAAACAGCTGTACCCTTAAATCAGCTTTCCTAACACCTATAGCCAGGCAACTACCTCCATCACCCCAACAGAAGCTGCAAAATCTTACTTAACTCTGGAGAAATGGATCCACGGAGACTGCAGAGCTACTGGGCTACAAATGGAAAGATTAATTAAAAGTCTTAATGCTGAACTGGGAGACCCTTCCTCAACTTGGCTTTGCAGATCTCCAAGCAGGTTTTCCACAATAAGAAATTAGAANATGTTCCTCAAGGATAATGGCATTTCCCTCCCGTTCCCATCATAGCAGCTAGGGTATCGGGGCAGCCATTACAACAGGGCTGACAGAGTCGTGGCTTCTCTGGGAGCCAGCTATCAGCTGGTGACCTCCAGGGCTGGGAATCTAGGCCCACAAGCCCACATTGAAATTCTGGGCACAGCTCGAGCCCATACTGAGTTTTAATACTATATTAATATATATTAATATAATAGTATTAGTTTTAATACTAATAATAATATCTACTGTTTCTATGTGTTTTCTGCACCACAGGCACTGTCCTAGACACTTGACATAGTTTCTTATGAACTCAACTTCTCTTCAAGGTAAGGAAATTTTTTCAATCAACTTTCTTTATTGAAATATAATATATATGAAAAAGAGTGCACAGATCATTAGTACACAACCTGATATTTTTTAGTGAAATGAATTATACCAGATAACTACCACTAGATCAAGAAATAGGACACTTCCAGCACTCTAGAAGACACCCTCCTACCTTCTTCCAGTTACTACTTTCTTCTGCCCAAGCATAATCGCTCTTCTGAAATCTAACACCATAGAGGAGTTTGTGGAAATGGGGCAAGATGATATGTACTCTTACATGTTGGCTTCTTTTGTCCACATTATGCCCATGAAGTTTATTCATTATTGTTGCAAATGGCAGTTGTTGGCTCATTTTCATTGTTGCATAGCACTGCACTGTGTGACTATATAACAATTTATCCTGCCCTTGATGGTTATTTGGGTTATTTTCAGTTTGTGGTTAGTATAAGTAATGCTGCTATGAATATTTTGTGCCTGTCTTTTAGGGGGGCATATGCATACATTTCTGTTAGGTATATTCCTAGGAGCGGAATCACTGGGTCATAGGACATGCTTTAGTAGATGCAACCAAACAGATTTATAAAGTGGTTATGAGGAAAGGGTTCTTAATCTCATTCAACAAATGTGGAAAGTGGGATTCAAAGACCTGAAATGACTTGCCCAGTGTCACAGCTGTTAAGTGGAAGAGGTGGGATTCAACCCTTCCTTCATGCCACACTGAGGGTTTCTTGAGAAAAACGTAACAGAAGAGAGAAGTCGAATATGAAGGCAGCAAACTGCCCAAATCCCAACCTTTTGGAGAAAACTCAGCTTGCATTTGAATGTTTTTCAAAATATTTTCTTCTACATTCCTTTTTAAAAAATCTTGGATGAAGTAGAACTTATGACTCATTCGCTAATCAAGAAAAGTGAGGCTTGGAAAGTCCAAAATCGCTGGAGAGATAAGACAGATTTTTCTTCTGACTCTAGAGTGTGAATTCAGCCAGTGCATCTCTCACTGGGGGCCAAAGGTCACAACTCTGGGGCTGATAAACACTTTTGTATCTGAGGTTCAAACCATATGAGGCCCTGGATCCTCTTATATTTGGGGTGCAGATCAGGTGGGACCAGGAACCCTGTCACATTTGGGATCTAACCATGTGGGGCCAGAACCAGTTAACAGGAGCCTGCTCATCGGCTGCTCTCTCTCTAGGCAAGATTTTACATCTGCCCACAGCAACCCAGTAATTCCACACTGTGAGCCCTATAAATGCGGATCTTGGAACCCTTGGCCAAAGGGAACTGCTTGGGAGAAAGTCACCAGAAAAGCCTTACTAATTGATTTAGAACATTGTCTCCCTTCCAAAATCCTGCCTATAAGACTAGCATAGGCACGTCCTTTCCCTCGTGTGCCATTTCCCCAAGACCTCTGTAAAAACCCTTGGCCTCGGCAATGTCAAACACGAGTTTTTCACTAGAAAACTAAAAATATAAACTCTAATGAAAACATGATATTTGAATTAAATTTTGCACTCCCTACCCCCTTTTTTGCCCTGGGAACCTGCTTGTGATTATTCTAGAACCGTTATTTGGAGCCAGTTATCTTTAGTCAGCTTTTCAGTGACTTTTCAGTAGGAGTTAAACAAGGGATTGGAGGTTTCCTATCTGTTGGGACATTTCAGTTAGTCTCCCATGCCTGTTTTCTGGAGATGGTGAAAAAATAAAGGCCTTTTCAGGGAAGGGAAGAGGAAAATGACAGGACGGCGCCTCACTCTGAAATGGCCAGGACGATTTGAGCAACAATCTGGTTAGAGGAGGAAACTCTTGGAAGGTTTGCCCAGTACTCTCGACGAGCTGGTGCATCTGTGGGGGAGCGAACAGATGGTTCTCTAGTCTGGCTAAGAATTTACTCAGTTTTCTGTTTGAGGATCATATGGAAGCTGCAGGCTGGATGCAAGGATCCCTGGAGACATTAGAGTAACTTTTCACGAGAAGGTGGTTAGAGAGCTCTATATCATCCGGAAAGGGGGCTTTAGTTAGCATTTTGTGTCTCTAGGGATGAATAAGAAAAATCAAGCACTTGCTGGCCATGGTGGATCCATTGAAAAGAAAAGAAGACAGTCAGAGGTTTGGCTTATACAAGGGCTCATGCCCAGCACCCTGCGGTCACAGAATTCCCAGGGTGTGGTGATCTGTGGACTTGGCTGAGAGGATGAAGTCATCGTCCACTGAAGGACCCCCCCCACACACAGCCCATGCTGGAGCTGAGACCAGATGTCCCTGAGAAGACCAGCTGTTGTCATGTGGCTGTGAAAAGCAAAGTCAGCCACATAAGCAGGTGAGAAAGCCACGTGCATCTCTTTTCAGGACAGTATAAACCTCTGGGGTTTGGGGACACACGTCAGAAGGGGAACCCCAAGAGGGAAATCTTGGACTTCTTGCCAAGCTGATGATGCACGGGAATAAACGAGATGTGACGTGGTACCCTGAATTTGGGGCACTATTCACACTGCCTACATTTGACTATTTACAGTGGCTAAAAGAATTGGTGTGAAGTATTATCCTTTTCCTAGTAAGTGCCATAGCATTTACTCTGAAAAATTCTGAAGTTCAGGGCTTAAGATTCAAATAACCCCATTTGTTCTGAACTTGATCAGGTCTCTACCCTCAAAACATAATGTTATACACGACAAAGAAAAAGGGAGGCTGTCTACTTGGGCATCAGATGATGGTGCTAAAAGACTTCTTATAT